GGGGACAGTCGTGAGGGACCCAGAGGCAGAGGTCTATTGCCATTGGCATCTACCCTAATACTTTCAATCCCATACCCCATCATCAGTGCCATATGCTCTGCCCCATTCACTGGAGCAGCCACTGGCAAATATGGAACCTAGGGAGCAAGAGGAATGTGGCAGGGCTGAGGGTTCTGGGCCTCAGGCACTTCGTTGGAAAATGAATGTGATGCAGTGTGGCAGATGTTGACCCTGTGGCCAAAGTCAGGTGAAAGCCGTGATTGTCATGCACACTTGCCCTAATGTCAGAATGAATGGATCCCCCACCCTCAGGTTCAATGAGGCTACTGTGCCCATATGACTCTTATCTATGTTATATCCTACCCCACCCTATCCTGCTGTACTCCCCACTCCCCCATATCATACCACTTATTAACTACAATACTTAATTCTACCATTATGTTGATTCTATTATTGATTTTAAGTATAATTATCATAAATTATAACTAATATCACAATCTTTGTCACTATTTGTTACATGCCTTTAATTATTAAGATACCATGAATAATATATTAACTCTGATGCTAAGAAATCCTGTTCCTTCTAGTTTCTACCACCTTCAGATTGGAGTTTGCGTGAGTACAATAGCCTCAGCTCTAGGGGTAATGTTTTTCTCCCTCTGCAAAATCAACACAGTTAGATTACTTCCTTAGTGAAATTATTATGGTGGTATTTCAATATTTATTATAATAATAGATATTGCTGGCCGGGCGCGGTGGCTCACGCCTGTAGTCCCAGCACTTTGGGAGGCCGAGGCCGGCGGATCACGAGGTCAGGAGATCGAGACCATCCTGGCTAACATGGTGAAACCCCATCTCTACTAAAAATACAAAAAATTAGCCGGGCGTGATGGCGGGCGCCTGTAGTCCCAGCTACTTGGGAGGCTGAGGCAGGAGAATGGCATAAACCTGGGAGGCGGAGCTTGCAGTGAGCCGAGATCCCACCACTGCACTCCAGCCTGGGCAACAAAGCGAGACTCCGTCTCAAAAAAAAAAAAGATATTGCTATTAAAACAAAAGCTGGTATTTTCTGTTTCCATCTGTGAAATAGGATAATGTAAGCACCACATCAGTACAAGCATTTGAGTTATATTAAGTTTGTGACTGTAATAAACGCCAATCCTGAGAACCCAGTGTGTGCTATTATACTCTGGAAAATGGGCCCATTTATAATACAGTGTTGTCTATTTATATGGTCTAAATGTCTGTGTCCCTTCAAAGTTCATATTAAGGCCTAATCCCCAGTGGGATAATCTTAAGAGGTGGGGCCTTTGGCAGATTATTAGGTCATAGTGGAGAAAAGAAAGAGAGATCAGACTGTTACTGTTTCTATGTAGAAAGAAGTAGACATAAGAGACTCCATTTTGTTCTGTACTAAGAAAAACTATTCTGCCTTGAGATGCTGTTAATCTGTAACCCGAGCCCCAACCCTGTGCTCACAGAGAAATGTGCTGTGTTGACTCAAGGTTTAATGGATTTAGGGCTATGCAGGATGTACTTTGTTAAGAAAGTGCTTGAAGGCAGTATGCTTGGTAAAAGTCATCACAATTCTCTAATCTCAAGTACCCAGGGACACAATACACTGCTGAAGGTACCCAGGGACACAATACACTGCTGAAGGCCGCAGGGACCTCTGCCTAGGAAAGCCAGGTATTGTCCAAGGTTTCCCCCCATGTGATAGCCTGAGATATGGCCTTGTGGGAAGGGAAAGACCTGACCATCCCCCAGCCCGACACCCCCAGCCCGACACCCTTAAAGGGTCTGTGCTGAGGAGGATTAGTGAAAGAGGAAGGTGTCTTTGCAGTTGAGCTAGAGGAAGGCATCTGTCTCCTGCTCCTCCCTGGGTAATGGAATGTCTTGGTGTAAAACCCGATTGTATGTTCTATTTATTGAGATAGGAGAAAACTGCCTTAAGGCTGGAGGTGAGACGTGCTAGTGGCAATACTGCTCTTTAATGCACCCAGATGTTTGTGTACTTGTACATCAAGGCACAACACCTTTCTTTAAATTTATTTATTTATGACACAGAGACCTTTGTTCACATGTCTTCCTGCTGACCTTCTCCCCACTATTATCCTATTGTCCTGCCACAGCCCCCTCTCCGAAATGGTAGAGAGAATGATCAATAAATACTGAGGGAACTCAGAGACCAGTGCCCGTTGCGGGTCCTCTGGATGCTGAGCACCAGTCCCCTGGGCCCACTGTTCTTTCTCTATACTTTGTCTCTGTGTCTTATTTCTTTTCTCAGTCTCTTGTCCCACCTGACGAGAAACACCCACAGGCGTGGACGGGCAGGCCACCCCTTCACACTGGGAAACCAAACAAATTCTGTGACTCGCTTTATTGTAGTGGTCTAGAACCAAACCCTAAATATCCCTGAGGTATGCCTGTGTTTGTATAGTACTATTGTTATGGAAATAAAAGGATCTCAATCCAGACTCCAAAAGAGGGTTCTTCTTCTCATGCAGGAAAGAATTCCAGGTAAGTTGTAGAGTGCAGTGAGAAGGGATACTTTATTGAAAGCCACTCCACAACAGAGTAGGGTGTCCTCAGAAAGCAAGTGGAGGAACATCCGTTAAGTTTTTCTTATGTAGGGGTCTCGTCTATGTAAAGACTGAAATAAGCTGTGCCTATGCGTGGGTGGCCTGACATTATGACAAAATTTATTATTCTATTGATTTAAAGAAAACTATCCCTAAAATTTTAGTGTGTAAGTACATCAAAGTATAACTATAATGATCTTGAAAGCATTTATTGTTGTGGGTATTGGACATCTGGACTTTCTGTTGTTCTAGAAGTTTGTCCTTGCAGGCATTACCGGGATGCTTCCTTCACTGTAAACATGTTAGGACCATGATTTGTGACTTGCAGTGAATGCGCCTTGCTAGTCTCAAGATGGAGCTGAACTTAAAATGGTGTCACTCTGGGTCTCTTAGGTTTCTGCTTCCCTAACACTGTGACCATACCTGCTGTCTTCTTGATATTTCGTTGTAAATGTTTTTTTTTTTTTTTTTTTTTTGATACAGAGTCTCGCTCTGTCGCCCAGGCTGGAGTGCAATGGCCGGATCTCAGCTCACTGCAAGCTCCGCCTCCCAGGTTTAGGCCATTCTCCTGCCTCAGCCTCCCGAGTAGCTGGGACTACAGGCGCCCGCCACCTCGCCCGGCTAGTTTTTTGTATTTTTTAGTAGAGACGGGGTTTCACCGTGTTAGCCAGGATGGTCTCGATCTCCTGACCTCGTGATCCGCCCGTCTCGGCCTCCCAAAGTGCTGGGATTACAGGCATGAGCCACCGCGCCCGGCCTGTAAATGTTTTTAATTCCTTTATTTTTAAATTAAAATTTTACTATGAAATTTTCACACAAATACTATGGAAGAGAACATTATAATGAATTCTGTCTACTTATCACCCGGCTTTAACATTTATCAACATTTTCTTTTGCAATACCATATACCCCTTTCTTAGTGGAGTTTTTTTTTTCTCGGTGAAGTTTTTAAAGCTAATATTATTCCACCCATAAATATTTCCACATGAATCCCTAAAAGATAAGTCATCTTCTTTTTAACAGAACTACATTACTGACAAAATCAACAGTAATTCTTAGGCCCGTGGTAGAAATATGTGTTCACTAATGGACTTCCACAGATGTTTTCTTAGACCGTCCTTTGGGAGAAGAAAGAGAACCTGAGATCAGCAGAGTCTAATTCTCTAAACATATTTTTAAGCCGAGTCCCAGAGACAGACATAACTGGTCTGAAGGCATCCAGCATGCCCACATGAGTGTAGGTTCAGTTCCCTGAAAACAAGTTTCCCACCTGCTGGAACTGAACACATTGGGTAGATAACTTCCCACCACTGTCAGGTAGAACTTCCTGTCAGAAGCTGAGCTGTGAATAATGTTTAGGAGTTCGCCAAGTGAAAGGAATTATATCTTTACAACTCCTCATCCACATCCTCCAAAAAGGGGAGTAAAGCGGTGTTAAGCAGCTTCAGAATTTCCACAGAGGAGAAGCTAAAGGTCAGAGACTGCATTTAAACCTTCATTGACATGGTAAGGCGATTGTTATTATATTTTAACTTCAAGGTAAATAAAAACAGTTTTCTTTAGGTGCTTTTAGTCACACGTTGACCATACTAAAGACTATTAGTGTTGTTATTATTGCTGCCTACTATAGTTGCACTTGAGGTAGTTAGTGTGGAGGGTAATGCGTAATTCAAATCTCTATTCACTTTCCCACCCGACTCAGCCCTTCAGAAGTGGACGCGTGGACTTCTCCTCCCTCCTCTGGTGGTATCTCCCAGGAGAGGATTGTATTAATACTCTCGGATTTCTACCCTATTTCCAAAAGTGGTTTCTCCCATTAAAAGTTGTACCACCCTTCCTGCAGCCTACTACTCATTCAGATGTCTCTCAGACTTTCAGGGTGGTTTCACTCAAGAGATGACTCCCATAGTGACCTTTCCACCTTTTCCCTGAATGGCATCTCTAAAAAGTGGACTGTACTATCCTGATTCCTCCTATCATCTGCCTGTGGTTTACTCCCAGGATCCTCTTCTCTTGGTAATTTTTCCCTGGTGGTTTCTTCCAGCAGGTAATTATTATCCTCAGTGTCCTGTATTCAGAAGGGTAACTTAGCTTTTCTAAATACAACATACAGCGCCAGACCCACATTTCCAGTAACTGTCTCCTCCAGAGTAGAAGCCTAGTCAGACAAGGGTCACACTCCAGCGTCCTATGTAACTATACCTGCCTCGCTCTAGGAAACCCTGCCGGCGGCCAATTCCTCTGTTCTACGGAACGGATATGCTTCCAAGATGGCGGCCCACACGGATAAATACCACAAGGGCGCGGCCATGTTCTCTCCGTAGAGCGCCACGTTACGGAAACTGTGCGCTGTGCCTGCGCCCTGTTGACTCTTCGCTGAAATTGGCTTCCAAGTTTATTCAGAGCATGCGCCATATCAACAGCCTACAAAGGGGAGGTGCTAGAAGTCGGACCGGAAGTGGAAGCGGTCCTCCAAGGCTTTTTTGCCGCTGGTGTCAGGAGTATTTTCATATCCCAATACCGAGAAATCTTTGAGGTGATTTTGGTTGGTCACGACTGGGGTTTCTGTGGAGCCAGTAATAGGGGGTGTCGAGGTTGCCTGTGGAGTTAGAGATTGTTTTGAGGGTTCGGTGGTGGGGTTCTGTGGCGTCCGTTGTTGATTGTGACGGATTTCTCGGGTCATTGATGGGGCTTTTGGGGATGAGTGATTGAGGTTTGGGGGTCAGTGATGGGAGTCTGTGGTCAGTGACAGAGCCTGTAGGGTCAGCTATGGTGATCGGTGAGGACTGTAATCAGCTTGCTTTCTAACCTGAGTTGAAAGTTCAGCGTTTTAATTTTCAGTCTTCTTTAATATAAAAATTCTCAAGTTTTGGTGAATCTTCGTATAAAAAATTGTTCAAATCTAAGTGGTTTTTTTTTCTTTGATCCATGAGTTATTTAGAAGTTCCTTTTTTGTTTTAAGTAATATCTGTTTAATGCTCAAATTGAAAAGTTGCCTTATGACCTAGTTCGTGGACAGTTTTCATGAATGTCACATCTATTACATAAAAACGGTGTATTTTCTCTGATTGTATTGTTATAGATATTAATTAAGCATATATTAAAAAAATATGTCTGTCTCCTCACAGATTGACTGCTTAATTAGAGGAAGGTAGAGTAGTCACTCTGGAAAGGTTCTTTGTCCATTTGTCCTTCCTTCTTTTTCTGCTTTATATATGTGAAATTATATTATTAGGAACAATTGTGTGCACTTTATTTATTTATTTATTTTGAGATGGAGTCTTGCTCTGTCGCCCAGGTTGGAGTGCAGTGGCACGATCTCAGCTCACTGCAACCTCCGCCTAGTGGGTTCAAGCGATTCTCCTGCCTCAGCCTCCAGAGTAGCTGGGATTACAGGCGCGTGCCACCATGCCCAGCTAATTTTTTGTATTTTTTAGCAGAGACGGGGATTCACCATTTTGGCCAGGCTGCTCTCAAACTCCTGACCTCAAGTGATCCACCTGCCTCGGCCTCCCAGAGTGCTGGGATTACGGGCATGAGCCACCGTGCCCGGCCTGTGTGCATTTTTAATACGTTATAGATATGACTAAGTAGCTCAAAATATAACAATTCAGGCTCTACCAACAATTTATAAAATAACTCATTTTCCCAAATGCTTTTCCAGCAATGGATATTGTTGCATTTTAAAAGTTTTTAAAATTTTGAGGGAAAATTATATCTAATTGCTCCAATGCATTTTCCAGTTGGCATCTTTTTGGTTAATTGCCATTTGTTTCCTTTTCTGTGAATTTTCATATCTTTTGTCCTACTTTTTTTTTGTGGTATATTTTAACATAAAATTAGGAAATATCATCTAATCAACAGTATCTGATTTTTCTGCTATAGCATCTGTGTTTCCTCTTACGTGTAATAAGATCCCTCCCAGCCCACCACAGTGTTATACTTCTAAAATTTATTTCCATAATCTTTGAAATTTCACAAATACATGTAATTAAGTGATCAGTCCTGCTGGCATTTGCTTACAGTGAATAGTATGTGATGGAGATCTAGTTTGTTTTTTTCCAGGTGGCCGGCCAGTTATATCACTGCCATTTATGCAATGAATGTCTTATGCACACTCATTTGAATACCACTTTTGTCACATATATAGATCAATATTGTCTGGTATATTTATTGTTTTACTTGTTTTTATTACATTTTTTATATTGTTTTAATATCTGATAATGCATGGTAATCACTGATATGTATTGTATGATTTTTGTGTGCCAGGGAGGTGTTGAGCACTTTACAAATATCTCATTTAATTTTTGTAACTTTGAGATCAGCATTTTCATCCTCATTTCTTAAATTAAAAGTGAAGAAATGGCTGGGCACGGTGGCTCATGCCTGTAATCTCAGCACTTTGGGAGGCCGAGGTGAGCGGATCATGAGGTCAGGAGATCGAGACCATCCTGGCCAACATGGTGAAACCTCATCTTTACCAAAAATTAGCTGGGCGTAGTGGCACATGCCTGTAATCCCAGCTACTCGGGAGGCTGAGGCAGGAGAATTGCTTGAACCTGGGAGGCGGAGGTTGTAGTGAGCCGAGATGGCACCACTGCACTCCAGCCTGGCAACAGAGCGAGACTCTGTCTCAAAAAAGAGTGAAGAAACTTCTGTTCTCATAGGTGAAAAGTGGTAGAGCTGCAGTTCAAAAAATCTGCAGTGATGTTTTTCCATCTCTCGTGACTTTTCCCATATTTCACTGTAACTAATACCTATCACAGATTTTGTTAAATTTTATGTTCTCCACAGCACTGCTTCTCAAAGTGTGGTCCATGTACTGACAGCATCAGCGTTTCCTGGGCACCGGTCAGAAATGAAACTTCTTGGGTTCCACTTTTGACCTACTGAATCAGAAACTGTGGAGTAGGGCTGAGAATTTTTAACTGTGTTTCATTTAACAGGTCCTCCAGGTAACTTGAATGCGTACCTGTTTGAGAACCACTGCTTTGGTTTTTAGCTCAGGGACCTGCACCTTGATGTATCCAGGAAGTGCTTATGTGGTGAATATTAAATGACTAACTATGGGAACATTGTCTTTCCAGATTTCTGGGTGTCTCTGGGGAGCTCCTGGGCCAGATCTTCCTCCAGACTCCAGCCTACCTCTTCAGAGCAGCTCTGCTTGAGTTCACAGATGACTGCCAAGCTTCACACACCCTAGAGGAAAAGGGTTGAGACCCAGTGTGGCCATGCCAGCTAATTGGACCTCATCTCAGAAATCCTCAGCCCTGGCTCCAGAGGATCATGGCAGCTCCTGTGAGGTGAGGAAGAGGAGTCCCAGGGGGTGGAAATTCAATCCAGGAGTAGAAAGCTCTGATCTGGCACTAGAACCTCATGATTGAGGGAGGCAGCTGGGCCACAGGAAGCAGCTGGACTCTTAAGACCTGCTGCTCCTGAAACAAATCTTGATCTTCCTGTTGAGAATGAGCAACACGTGGGTAATGTCTTCATCTCTGGAGGCCACCTGTGTGACAGTGGAGAGGTGCATTGTCAAGAAAAACTGTTGTTTATTTTGTCATCACACTACATTGATCTTTGGGCTGTGGATAGATTTTCCTGGTTAGAAGTCACTTTTCTGTGGGATTTTCAAAGTATTTCTCTGTTTCTTCCTAAACTGCCTCCTCAAACACAAATATTTTCTTTTTCTTTTTTTTTTAATATCTGTTTTTTGGATATTGGTTCTCCATTTTTTTTTCCCTCTACTGTTTTCTGTTTCTTTGCTGCTCTCTTTTTCAGGAAGCTTTGTCACATTTACCTTCCAGCTCTTCTTTTGAGTTTCTCATTACCAGTATCAACATTTTAATTCAACATTTTAATTTTTAATAACTAATTTATTTTCTAAATATTCTTTTTGATTAGCATCTTGTTCTTATTTCATGAGTATAATTTTATTTCTTATACCTCTGGAGATATTGTGATAGTATATTAGGAAAGTTTACTTTTTTAAATAGGGAATATATACACTTAGTTCAAAAATAATGTTGGTAAAATGGGAATAATAGTAAAAAATAAAAATTAAAAGCCATTAGAAATATATTTAAAGGCAACACACCCTGAAAAGTGTTATAGGAAGCCGGGCGTGGTGGCTCATGCCTGTAATCCCAACACTTTGGGAGGCCGAGGCGGGCAGTTCACAAGGTCAGGAGATCGAGACCATCCTGGCTAACGCGGTGAAACCCCATCTCTACTAAGAATATAAAAAATCAGCCAGGCATGGTGGCGGGCGCCTGTAGTCTCAGCTACTCCGGAGGCTGAGACAGGAGAATGGCGTGAACCTGGAAGGCGGAGCTTGCAGTGAGTGGAGATTGCGCCACTGTACCCCAGCCTGGGTGACAGAGCGAGACTCCGTCTCAAAAAAAACAAAAAAGAAAGTGTTATAGGAAACAAATTCAGGGGAAACACGAATCTGTGGTTCATTCACCTCCGTTCCCCACCTACCCCCATGTTTCTCAACATAGAGGACCAGTTTTATTCTTTTTCTTTGATTGCTGAGTTTTGTAAACAAGTAAAAACAGCTACACATTTTTTTCTATTTCACAAAAGGTGCCATAGTAGACTAAATTTTCACACATTGCTTTTTAAATATTTGTTTGGTAAAATACAGATTATATTATGAGCTATGTAGCAGTAGACATTCTTATGTCTTTCTGTTGCATGTATAAGTCATAGTAGAATTTCATTTCAGGGTTTTAGTCACAGATAATAAGAATCTTAGCTGAATTTCACTGAACCTGTACTTCTGTTCCTATTGGTAAATTTTATGATTGGGTATCTTAATCATTTTTATCTAGAAGATATCTAGAAGATATGAAGGGTAGATTGAAGCAAAAGTTGTAATTGGTAAAGGTATAATTGGCAGTCACTTTTCTTAGGCAGAGTAAGGAGACTTTTACTTTTGTGGTTTGAAGAAGATTTGATTTTTGCCTGTGCTCAAGTACCATGACAGAGTGTTCTTGGTTTTGTCTTCTACCATGGTGGTCAGAGATTGGTCTTGTTTGCTGTTGGTGTTGCAAGAGATTATTTTTGTGTAGCACCATGGAGAACACCATGAGTTAGCTGGCCCCTGCCAGGCTAGCTTCTAGCAAAACTGAGGTTTAACTGATAGTGCCAGGCTAACTCTCAGCAGTCAGGGGCTGCTTTTATCCTCGTTTAAAAATAAAGGAATGAGCCAAAAGAAAGCTAGGGATGCAATTTAGGAATAGGTCAAAAGGAATGAGGAATTTAAGGTGAAAATCACTTAAAGTGATGAAGAGGATGGTTCATACTTACAAAAGGAATAATATACAAATAAAAGTTATCAAAGTAATAATGTATCCTTGAACTATATTAAGTAAAAATGAACAGAAATCATTAAATATACTATTGGCCATTTTAGTACACTACTCTAAAGGCAGACAAATAGAAACCTTTGCCATCATACTGATTCTGTTTTCTTTCTTTCCTTCTTTCTTTCTTTCTCTTTCTTTCTTTTTTTCTCTTTCTTTCTTTCTTTCTTTCTTTCTTTCTTTCTTTCTTTCTTTCTAGAAACCCTATGTATGCACCGAGTGTGAAGAGCTTTCATCCGCAAGTCAAACTTTATTACTCAACAAAGAATTCATACCTGAGAGAAACCTTATGAATGCAGTGACTGTGGGAAGTCCTTTACCCTAAGTCTCAGCTCCTGTGTATCAGCCAATTCACACAGGAGAGAAACCCCATGTGTGTGCCGAGTGTGGAAGGCTCTTAGTGGCAGGTCAAATCTCAGTAGCACCAGAAAACTCATACGAGAAAAGCCCTTACATCTGTTCTGAATGCGTGGGAAGACCTTTCTCACAGAAGGCTTGGGAGTTACTTGCTATTAATATAGAATCAACGTTGACTGAGAGAATTGTAATGGATGTGCGAAAAAGGGACACTAAAAAAAATCTTCAACAAAAACTGCTTAATTTACAAATCAAACCATTCGCCATCTTCTGAGAGAAGAAGCTTATAAGAAAGTGGCCAAAAACCTTCACATAATAGGTCAAATTTGAATAAACATCAGACAACACACACTGGAGACAAACCCTACAAGTGTGGCATCTGTGGGAAAGGCTTCGTTCAGAATCAGTGTTCAGTGTCCGCTCAGGAGCAGCCACACTTGAGAGAAACAGTGTGAGAAAACCCCACTGACGGTCGGGTCTGATTGTACACTGTTGCATGCATGCAGCAAAAAAATATGTATATTATTGTAAATAGAAACAGCCATCAGAATATCACATGGCTGTTCTGGAGAGGGCCCTTGAGAAGGCATCGAATGAGGCGAGGGAATTCCTTCCTACATTAAGTCACTATCCCCAGTAAACCTTGGGGGATTATTCATACTGACAAGGAACCAAGTCAATTTGGTGAATAGGAAAAGCCTTCTCATGAAAACGACAATAGAACACTGTTACCAAATTCTTCATAAGAAAGATCATATTATGGGAATGATAATCCCGTTTTCTTTCTTTCTTTCTTTCTTTCTTTCTTTCTTTCTTTCTTTCTTTTTCTTTCTTTCTTCTTTCTTTCTTTCTTCTTTCTTTCTTTTTTTTTTTTTTTGATGGAGTCTTGCTCTGTTGCCAGGCTGGAGTGCAGTGGCGCCATCTCAGCTCACTGCAACCTACGCCTCCTGGGTTCAAGTGATTCCCCTGCCTCAGCCTCCCAAGTACCTGGGACTACAGGCGTGCACCACCATGCCCAGCTAATTTTTTGTATTTTAGTAGAGATGGGGTTTCACTGTTTTAGCCAGGATGGTCTCCATCTCCTGACCTCATGATCCACGCGCCTCGGCCTCCCAAAGTGCTGGGATTACAGGTATGGGCCACCATGCCTGACCTTAATTCTGTTTCCTAAGAGCATTAAATTAGAAATAAAAAGTAAGGCCTGGGGCAGTGGCTCACGCCTGTAACTCCAGCACTTCGGGAAGCTGAGATGGGTGAATCACAAGGTCAGGAGTTCGAGACCAGCCTGGCCAACATGGTGAAACTCATCTCTACTAAAGATACAAAAAATTATCCGGGTATGGTGCCATGCACCAGTAATCCCAGGTACTTGGGAGGCTAAGGCTGAGAATTGCTTGAACCTGGGAGGTGGAGGTTGTAGTGAGCTGAGATTGAGCCTTTGCACTCCAGGCTGGGCAACAGGGCAAGACTCCATCTCAAAAATAAAATAAAAATAAAAATAAAAAGTAAAAGGTTCTTACACAACAATGTGAATGTACTTCATGCCACTAAACTGGTCACTTCAAAATATTAAAATGGCAACTTTTATGTTATGTGTATTTTTACCACAATTAAAAAACATCTGGGGCCAGGCGTGGTGGTTCATGCCTGTAATCCCAGCACTTTGGGAGGTGAGGTGGGCAAATCACAAGGTCAGGAGTTCGAGACCAGCCTGGCCAACATGGTGAAACCCTGTCTCTACTAAAAATACAAAAAATTAACTGGGTATGTGGCGGGCGCCTGTAATCCCAGCTACTCGGGAGGCTGAGACAGGAGAATTGCTTGAACCCAGGAGGCAGAGGTTGCAGTGAGCTGAGATTGTGCCACTGCACTCCAGCCCAGGCAACAGAGTGAGACCCCGTGTCAAAAAACAAATGAACAAACAAACAAAAAAACGAAAAAAAAAAAAAAAGCCATTTGGATAAAGCAATGCATTTTAAAGTTTGTGTGGTAAGCTGGGTGTGGTGGCTCATGCCTGTAATCCCAACACTTTGGGAGGCTGAAGTGGGTGAATTGCTTGAGCTCAGGAGTTCGAGACCAGCCTGGGCAGCATCGTAAACCCCGTCTCTACAAAATACAAAAATTAGCCAAGTGTGGTGGTGCAGGCCTGTAGTCCCAGCTACTTGGGAGACTGACGTGGGAGGATCGATTGAGCCTGGGAGGTGGAGATTGCAGTGAGCTAAGATCATGCCGCTGTAAATAAATAAATAAATAAATAAAGTAAGTTTGTGTGCCAAAGCTAACCTGTGGATAGAGGGGAAAAACTATAGATTTAATTGCTGCTTTTTGGAATCCTGGACATTTGGGGGAAAAAAAACAACAAAAACCTAAGGTATGAGTTTGACAGAAACACAAGTTGCTTCTATGTGTTGACAATCAAGAAAAAGGAGTAAATATCTACATCATCAAAGACTGGGTGGCTGGGCACGGTGGCTCACACCTGTAATCCCAGCACTTTGGGAGGCCAAGGTGGGTGGATCATGAGGTCAGGAGACCGAGACCATCCTAGCCAACATGGTGAAACTCCGTCTCTGCTACAA